AAATGACAGAATCAAAACCTGCCTATTTTAACAGCTATTCCCAGGGGTTTTAATGTAGTTATTTATGCATTTGAAGAGAGAATAAAATACCACCCCCACCTCCACACCGCACACCCTCCTCCTAAAAAAGGAAGAAATGAAGTGTAGAGAAAGCATTAAGGTTCTAAAATAATTATCTAAGCCAGTGAAATACATCTGAGGGAGATACAGTATGCTCCCATCAGTAATAACCAGCTCAGTGATTGGGGAGGGGAGTGGAGGGAGCATTTATGTAGTTAGGAATTAACCCCCCTCCCCCCACCCCAGGAATTTCATAATTTTTGTCCCCTCTCCTCCTCCTACCCAGTTTTCAATCTACATAATCATACTCAAGCAAAAACAGGGTTATGGGCAATAGTTTCAAAACTGATCTCCAGAAGTTCAGACTTGCTTTATCTATGTGGTTTTTTTGGTTTGTTGGTTGGTTCATATTTCCAGTGGTTCATATCTCTCATATCCATATTTAAAGTATTTGAAAGCATATAATAGAAATAATCTGGGGGCATACAGCAGGGTTAAAGGTGAAGTAAATTGTTAATGATTTTCTTCTTAATTCTTTTTTTCTGCACTGCCCTTCCTTTCCATTAGCTTTTAATAGTGCCTTCATTAATTTCACCTTTCACTTTCCTGGTGATAAACTTTTAGAATGACATTATAGTTTATGAAATTAAAACATTTGAGGACCTGCGGATACCAGCTTTTGAGGGATTAATATTGTTCATATTACTAAAATGAATTTGGAGTTAAACTTTTTGAAACCTCATTCTGAACTAGTTTTCCTAGACCAAGTAATGTTATAGTGCTATTCAATAGGCTGTTCAAAGTGATATGCTTTTCTCTTCTTCTTCCATCTTCAGTATACAAAATTTCTTTTTTTACCAACTCTCATTGGTCATAGGCAAGCTGAGAATGATATATCAAAATACTTTCTATCTTATCTTGGCTTTATAGAAAAGCAGCTCTTCAAAATTGAGGGTTTTTTGTGACTATAACATGTAACATACTCAAGATTTATTAAAGAAATTTAAACTAGTATGTTTAATTTTTTCAGGATATGTATCATTTTTACATGTGAAAGTGCATTTTATAACTCTTTAAGCTTTATAGCTTTAATGCCTACACACCCACCTTTCTTTTAGTAATTGCTGTGTTTTAAAAATCGCCATTATGGGAAATGCACAAAAATCGACCTAACAGTTTCTACCTGGCATTTTAGAGATTCTGTATTACTGTTACTGACTTTTGGCTTAGAAAGTCGAGCCAAGGGGATATTAGGTTGCCAGAAAAACTTTGCTTACAAACAGAAAGCATTTCTATGTCAAACTTCTGCTGAAGGACAAATTGTTTTGGTTAAGTTGCTGTGGAATTTGCCTTCCATATAAATTTTTTAAAGTTAAAAGTTTTGGAAGGTGGTATGTTTTGCAGGTTTAACAGTGAGGCAGTATTGAGATCTGTTGTTGTATACTTGTATGACTTGGTTTTTAATTCAGAATATTAAGAGCTTATTATAAAATACTGTTAAAATAGCTGTAGTATATAGTGTTAAATTGTCCATTGCTGTACCTTTCTGTTTGAACATAAAAGAACTGTGTCCTTTTACTGTGTGTGATCACCAAACCTATCTCTCTCTCTCAAAGTCTGTTCTTAACTCGTTTCTTCTAGACCTCTGCTTTAACTGCTCAGCTGGTGGATGACTCAAGGATTGAAAGTTGTTATTATTCTAGTTGGATTATCTCTTGTATTTTAGTAATCTGGCCTAGTTTTGCCATGAGTTTGAGGATTCCATTCTATAATGACCTGACTCAGGTCAGTTGTGAGCCTGGGTCATACTTGCTTCTCCTGAGCCCTCTGAAAATGATTAATTCTGAGGACAGCCCAGAGATTAATGTTTATCTCAAGCCAAGGAGAGGATAGTCTACCGGATAGATCTTTGGAAATGACTGCACTAAATATAAATCAGTTGATGAAACTACTGTGTTCTAGGCTGTACCCTGGGGCCATACCAAAACTGGGCTTTGCCCCTTTCTATAAAGAAAGGGTACTAGGCTGTATCGTCCTAACATTTGCCTGAAAGTATGTTATTAATCTGCTTGGGCTGCCATAACAAAATACCATAGACTAGGTGTCTTTAACAGCAATGAATTTTCTCACCATCTAGAAGGTGGAAATCTAAGATCAGGGTCCATCCAGCAGGGTTCAGTTTCTTGTGAGGATCTGTTTCTTCCTGGTTTCAGATGGCTGCCTTCCCACATGCCCTACTCTCTGTGCCCCCACAAAGAGGGGACAGAGTGGGCAAGACGCTGTCTCTCTCCCTCCATATAAAGCCACTGATCCCATCATGAGGGCCCCACCGTCATGACCTAATCTAATTCCCAAAGGCCCCATCTTCAAATACCGTCACATTGAGGTTTAGGGCTTAAACGTACGAATTTGGGGGGAACACAAACCTTCAGTCCGTTAAGAGTATGTGTACTTCCCCCCAGTGGGATTTAAGAGTTGCAGAATTATCTTCCCCCCAGAAGTGTGTCACTTTGATTTAAAGTCCCAAGATGTGTGAAATAAATAATAAATTACAACATGGAGGATGTAAATATGTTTCACTGACTACGAAGGAGTTATATCTATCGGTATATAAGACTTGGTTATTGAAAAAAGAGACTTGGTTATAGTTCCTTTACTTGACATTTCCTCTTAAATACAGAGGATCCAATTTTTTCTTTTTTTTCTTAGTGCTTCTGACTTTTGTTTTTTCCTTTAAACTTTATAATTCAAACCAAATGCAGCTTGCCTATGCTTTTAGATTGTAAGATTTTATGGGACATATCTGCCATGTTTTATAGAGGGCAAAAAAAGTTTGCTTAACTGACACAGATCTACATTTTACTTTCTTTAATAAGTATTTATTTTGCAATATTGGTTACTGCCATTGTATAGACCTCTGAAGATAAGCAAATGTAACTGTATCAACAATCTAGTTGAATCTCATAAAATTATTTACTCAGTAAAATTTAATTTCTGTAAATACTCTTTTGAAATAGTATCCCCATACTACAATTTCAAATAAAAGTTAAAACAATTATTTCAGTAGGTATCCTAATAGACATTTCGCAGTTTTATTGGATATTTAAAATTTCACCAGCCTACCAAGTGTTTAGTAGCTTCCTACAAGTATAAGAAGCACAAGTTTTAAGACCACAAATGTTAGTAATATGGAAAGAAGAGGTTACCACTTTCTATGTTCTGTGGTATAAATGAATTTGAATTTTTTTCATACTCATGGACATACCTATATAGCCAGTTTCTTATTCTACTTTGTATGTTTTTATAAATTAAGACAACTAAGCTGTAATTTGAGTCTCATTTCAAAAGGTTTTTTTTTTTCAAACTTTTTTTTAAATTTTTTTATTGTTATGTTAATCTCAGAAGGTTTTTAATCTATTTCCTGTCCTTATAATGAATCTTCAATTATTTAATCCCCTAGAGTATTTATTACCTTTACTTTTTTCATTAAAATAAATATTCATGACTGAAGCTGTATAAAGAAATTTCAGTTAAATTAAGACAGTTTGTTTAGTCTATGTATTTAAAAAAAAAAAAAAACTCCCCCAAATTCTAGAAAGGTTTATCTTCATTTAAATTTACTGTGAAAGTTTCTATTTATCATCTAATGCCTACTCCATATTAACTATCTCTGCAACAAGTAGTGGTTGAGTTTCATTTTAAAATAATAAAAATAACCTTAAGGGTCAAGTGGAATGCAAACAACATACTTAGATTTAGTTTTTTTTTTATTATGTGAACATTTGTTTTTCTTCATCATACTTAGAATATCCCTTTCAGTTTAAGCCTTAGATAAAGGTGTTATACCCCTTATACCTCTTATTATCTGCTTTGGAATGAAATGTTATTTATATCTTCAAAGTAAACTTCAGAATTATTTTTTAGATAAAGGATTTTTTAAATCAAAGATAAATCATTAAGATAAAAGGAGCTAATATAATACAGATATGTTTAAGTGTAGTATTCAAAAACAACCTCTATTCCATTTAATATAGATTTATAATGGTAGTAGCTACACATTTAGGCCAAGGCAATTTGTATTTGTTATTTACTCAACAAATATTCAGAAATATAACATTGGGCATTTCTAGAATTTTTCACCGAAACTTGATATATCCTTATCTGTCCCTTATGTAGTATTCAAATTTATATTGACAAATCAAAGAGATGTATAAGATGGGTGGTTGTTTATTTGGGATCTGATTCTAAAATGTTCTCAAAATTGTGTATTTTGAGACCTGAAAAATATTTATCAAAATTTTTATATAAAATGTTAAATTTCTTTAGGATTTGCCTAGAGCTGCTCTGATAACTGAGGATCTACCACAGCTATCCATATAATTTTTGTTTTAGAGTCTCTAAAACAGTGGGATTTATCCTAAGTGAGTGGTCAGATTGTATGTGTGTGTGTTTGTGTATTTCAGACATTGTAAGGTCTAGAAATAATCAGTGGTTCTGTCTTCTTCCTTTCTTCCTTTTTTGAATATTGTAAAATACCTTCATTTGTTTTGTATTATTAAATTATTCCCTCTTAAATTAAAATTGGGATGTACCAGAAATAAAACTTTCATCTCATTTTGTATTATAAGTCAGCCTCAACTACCTTGCAGTCATTTTCAGTTTAAATATTATAAAAATAGATTTCTTGTAGTACAGAATAAAACTCAGCATCTCATTAGGTATAGATTTTTATGTGGAGGATGGTTTCTTGAAATAGGCTTTTGCCTTATCTCTTTCCATCTTTCAGGCATTGAAAAGTGCACTTTGGTCTTTTAACTCAGTGGTACTTTATAACATACTATTCTTCCCGTCACTGTAAAAAATTGATGCATGGGTAAAAATATCTCTTTTTATATTGCAAATAAATTGAGCTTGTTATAGTCCCCTCTCTTCATTTTCAGGAAGAGGCAGAAATCCAGGCAGAACTTGAACGTTTGGAAAGAGTCAGAAATCTTCACATTCGAGAGCTCAAAAGAATAAATAATGAAGATAATTCACAGTAAGTCATTATTCATATTTTACAGTTTTACGTGATAAAAAGTTTTTTATCTCCTGTGGAGAGCATAAACACAATATTTCCGTGTTGGGGGGCTTCTCAGAACACTTAGAAAAAGATCCAAAGTCCTTCCCATATTTTCAGAAGGCCTTGTATGATCTGGTCCTTGGCCACCTCACCACCCCCATCTCTGTCATCCTCCCCTCATTTATATCTTGTACACAAGCCGGCCTCCTCCAACATGTTTATTTAGCACATTCCCATCTCTGGACTTTTGTGCTGGCCATTTCCTCTGCCTGAAGTGTTCTTCCTCTAAATATCTGCGTGGCTTATTCCTTATTTCACTCCAAATAATCATTAGAGAGGCTGTCCTTAGGCCACCCTGTATAAGATAGAAGTCTTTGCCTCACTCCATCCCTTCTCTCAGTATCCTTGCCTTGCTTTATTTTTTCATAGCATTTATCACTACCTGGAATTACAGATTTATTTTTCAGTTATTATTGTCTGTCTCCTCACATTAAAATGTAAGCTACACGAGAGCACAGACTTAGTTTTATTTTTGCTATATCCCCAGAGCCTAGACCAGCGCCTGGCACATGCTGGGCCCAAAATAAATACTTGTTGACTGAATACCAAAGTTACTATTACAATAGTGAAGGAGAAATTATTTCAGCTGGCAGTAGTTCAGTAAGCCACAGTTGAAATTATTTCAACTAACAAGATTTATGCGAAAACTGTAGAAGAAATAGAAGTTTAAGTTACAGCCTCTGTCCTTATCCATGCTTATCCAATGAATGCTATAGATCCTAAATGCTAAAGGAACTCGAAAGAGGAGAAAATAACTGAGGACTGGTGGGAGCTTTATGAAGAAGACAGAAATTAAGCAAGGCACTACTTGGATTTAATTGATGTAAAGGAGAGGAAGAGTGTCTTTTTATATTTTATAAGACTTGTGTCATTTAAAGCTTCATGACCTAATATGAATGTCACAATTGGAAATGGCTGGTTTCTCTTATGAACTATAAATATCTTGCTTAAAAGAGGGCCTATTCATGATCATTTGTGTATGTATAATTCATAAATATACAGATCCTTCCTGTGCGTAAGGTGAATGAAATAATATATTTATGGAATAACCCAAAATGTACCAGATGAAAATTCTAATTAAGCGGATAGGACAAAACTAATTTACAGTTGTCTCTTCTGAAAATTATGTTCAAACTTATTTGTGGATATGACTTAGTCCACTTGATGAAAATTAAGTGAATTGTTATAGCTTTACATTTCACTTTAAAAGTAAACAGAGGAGTGCCTGGCTGGCTCAGTCAGTAGAGCTTGCGACTCTTGATCTTGGGTTGTGAGTTCTAACCTCACATTGGGGGTAGACTTTACTTTAAAAAAAGCAAAAACAAAAACTTAGTAGATACCTCTTTTATTAACAAGTTCTTCAAGAAAAGAAATTGTCAAAGCTATATCCGATTGATTTTGAATAAAATAATAAAATATATTTATACCTGGAATTAATAAAGCTATCATCGTTTTTATTTTTGTTTTTGTTTTATTTCAAGAGTGCACATTTTGTAATCACTTTTTTTCCGCTAAGCCCTGTCATGTATTAACTGTTGACCTGAGCAAGTTACTTAACTTTTCTGTGCAGTGGTGCCCTCATCTGTAAAATGAGAGATAGTAGCAAGGCCTCCTTCATATGGTTCGCTGAGAAATAAATGAGTTAATACCTATGAATGCTTAATATATAGCAGGAGCAATAAATGTTCCATAGTAATGAGTATTATCTGTGAGAGATTTTCTAAGTTTCTTTTTAAAGCTTCCGTTTTTTAATTGGGAATTGAAATTTTATTTATAGAAGTTCAAAGAGTAAAATTTAATCATGTATGAAGGCCAATTTATACATATAATTATTTTTAATCACATGTCAGTACTACTGTAAAATCTTGATTAACTGTACTCCCAATATAAAAGTATATTTTTCCATGGGAAATAATTCCTACTGAGTAGTTGTGGGATTTCATAAAGCTCTTAGAAATACAGTAGTTGGTAAGTCTTTATCAGAGTGCTATTGGTTATTGAACCTGAATGTTCAGCTAAATGTTAAGTTTAGTGAACACCAGAGAGTTCAGATTGAAAATAGTCATGCAGGTGGAGAACAAAAAGCAGTATAAGATGGAACTCAAAATTAGCAGAGGAGTAACTGAGAAAGAAATAGCTTGAAGTAGAAGACAGAGTGGAACTTTATTGTGGAAGGACCCTTTTTGTATGTTTTTTTATGTGCCTAAGTGTCTTTTTCTCCCACCTTAAGGTTCAAAGATCACCCAACGTTAAATGAAAGATATTTGTTACTTCATCTGCTTGGTAGAGGTGGCTTTAGTGAAGTGTATAAGGTAATACAGACTTTTTTTCTGTTCTTACACTAAAATAGCAAAGATATAGGAGTACATGGTTAAGAAGTACTTGTCTTTTATTGATTCATTTTATGATTTTTTTGACTGATTTTTATGTCCCTACTCTCATTACAAAAGAGCCTGATGGCTTATGTTGTCTTATCTCGAGTGGAGAATATCCTTGCATCACACTGATATCTGGTACCTCGTTACTAGCAGCCAGTCCGATACAAATAACTGTCATTACAATCAAGAGAGGCAAGTAGCCATTTAATATAGTACATCTATGGAAAGATTGTACCCCTTAATTTAAACATGTGTCACAAGCCTTACATGTCTTGAATTTACCCAAATCTCTACCTATTTTAAGGTCAGTGTTTCTTAAATGCACCTGTATAAATGTAGAAAAATTTTTAGTCACCATGTTCAGTGTTTTGTACCTTCTCTTTTTTCACTTTACCTTGTATCTTTCTGCCCAGCCTTTAAATTGTGTAGTTCCTGGGGCGCCTGAGTGGCTTAGTCCGTTAAGTGTTGGACTCTTGATTTCTGCTCAAGGTCATAATCTCAGGGTCATGGGGTAAGGGTTAATGCTCAGCGGGGAGTCTGCTTGTCCCTCTCCCTCTGCTCCTCCCCCCCCAACTCACACACTCTCTCTCAAGTGAATAAATAAATCTTAAAAAAAATTGTAGTTCCTAAGGTCTTTTATCATTCTATATTCTCCTTTTCAAATACAGGTTTCCCCAGCTATCCATAAGTAGAGCATTCCAGTGAGACCTTTTGTAAGCCAAAATGGCATAAAGGGAAGTGTATCCCCTGCTTTACAAAGTTTGTGTGAGGCCTCTTCACTTTTTTACGAAAGACCTACATTAGTGCCTGTTTTTCCTAACTGAAAGAAATCCAAAGAGGGTTTTCACTCTTTAAAAAAAGCCATTATTGTAGCAGTGTACATAATATCCATCCTACACTTTCCTTCTGAGCTCCATACATAACTTAGTCTTTTTACCTCACATGGATGCTTCATATGCGTACAAACTCAGGTCTGACACAGAAGTTGTCTTCTTCTCCAAAACTTTTTATTCTAACACTGCTGCTTCCCACAGCTATTGCTGTGGAATAGCTGTGGGAAGCAGCCCATTCCCTCAAGTGAAAAACCTAAGGCCATCCTTTGCTCCACCTTTTCCGTAACTTCCTTTCCTCAACATAAAACCAGTCCCTGGTGCCCACTGCTAACTTATATCATTAAACTCTCTTAAGTCCAGCAATGACCCTTCCCCTCTCTCTCTTAGCTTAAGGCCTCCTTGCCTCTTATTTGCATTGCTCCCTGAGCCTCCTAGCTAATCACCTTCTTTAGGGCTCATTGAGTTTTCTCCAGTTTATTGATGTATGCTGCAGCTGGAGTGGCCTTTTTATAAAATGCAGTCTGATCATCTCACTCTCCTGCTTATGAGCCTCAGGGGCTTCCCATTTGCTCTTAGTTAGGATGAAGTCTTATTAAAGGTTGTACCCTCACCTTAAATTTTTTTTCCTTTAAAATTTTTATTGTTATGTTAATCACCATACATTACATCATTAGTTTGATGTAGTGTTCCATGATTCATTGTTTGTGCATAACACCCAGTGCTCCATGCAGAATGTCCCCTCTTTAATACCCATCACCAGGCTAACCCATCCCCCCACCCCTCTCCCCTCTAGAACCCTCAGTTTGTTTTTCAGAGTCTGTCCTCTCTCACGGTTCATCTCCCCCTCCGATTTCCCCCCCTTCATTC